ACAACAAAAGGTTAGAATTGTGTCTCTGTGGTATCCTTGAACACAGCGTCTTCTCAACATGATGTAAACACACTAACTAGCGGAAGTGTTTGTGGGCAGGTCAGACTCGCGGGCAGGTGGGGATTATGCAAATGTGTTACCCAGTGATGTATACCGGTAACAGGCAAAAGATTCGAAAATATGACGACTCGTTAAGGCGATTCAGAATCGACTCTCTCTTTTGAAAGACAATATCTTTATTTATCATGCACTTTTTTTGATTAACAACTTTGCAGACTGTTTTCATTTAAGGATAGCTACGTTATAAACTGCAAAAGAGATATTTTTCAAAAACCCATATGACTTGCTCTTTAAATAGCCTATCAGTTTTAATGAACAATAATAGGCATTATAAAAGTATAAATATAAAGTATAAGAGACAATGTGTAAACATACCTGGCAATAAAGCTCATTCTGATTCTGATTCTGAGATTTAAGTTTTAAACAACTACATTCTCGCCTGAAATACTCTTAAAACTACATTTCATGGCACAATAACATTAATATTTTGAAAATTACGTTGGTTTTCTCCGCCATTAACGCTCGCTGGTTGGCGCGAAATGTATTCTGGGATACCTGGCTGCCTCAAGTTCGCACAAGTCATCTCTTGATTAGGGTGGCCAAATGTGCCATTTATACGGGACACGTCCTGGCTAGGATTTTTATATTGCCTAAAACATCCAAAGTAGTTTGACCAATAACATGCAGGTATTGTACATAATCGACCAATCGTGGCGCGTGAGAAGGTGAGATCTACAGAGAATGATCAAAGCGAAGCAAATACGCGCACGTGTTTGTTAGCTCATTCGACTTGAAGTGTCGTTGCACCAATCATTGTATGACACAAAAGTACAGCGAGAGTGATTCGAAAATATAAGGAGCCGTCTGCTCTGCTCTCTATAGCTCTCGTGATTGTCATACAATGATTGATCTGCACAGTGCAAACAGCCAAAACCTGGATATATTAGGCAATATAGAAATCCTGGCAAGGGCGCGTCCCGTAAAAATGGCCTTTATGGTCACCCTACTCTTGATGCATCCTTGATAAAAGGGGCAGAGAAAGGACACTTTCAACAAAATGTATGTTAGAGAATTTTGTAGTTGATCAAACATATTTAATAGTTCTCCTTATAGAAACATGGGATTGTCTATAATGTTATAAAAATTATAATTTGAAGATCAATGTACATCATTCATGAAAAGTTTCAGGGAAGTATAATTTATAAAATTGCATCAAAAGGAACAAAATTTTGTATAGAAATTGTCTTTACACTGTTACACCAGGGTTCACTTTTATGTACTTTCACATTTTTCAGTTTTTTTTTGGTTTTGTTTTGTTTTTCAAGCTACTGACAAATAAACTGTTTTTGCTTTTATTTTAGAGTTTATTGAAGAAACTGAGAAGAACGAAGAATTGAATGAAGATGAGGAGAAAAATCACGTCAAAACTGGAGAAAAACCTTTGAGTTGCTCTCAAACCAAACAGAAAGATTTAAAGAAAAGTGGAGCCAAGAAATCTTTCACCTGCACTCAGTGTGGAAAGAGCTTGACAAGCAAATGTAGTCTTGAGCGTCACATGAGAGTTCATACTGGAGAGAAACCATTCACATGTGATCAATGTGGGAAGAGTTTCACACAATCAGCACACCTTAAGAAACACATGAACATCCACACTGGAGAAAAACTGTACTCATGTGATCAATGTGATAAAACATTTTTGAGCGCTTCAGTCCTGAAGAAACACCTGACAGTTCATACAAAGGAGAAGCCATATTCATGTTATTTGTGTGGAAAGAGTTTTTCACGTTTTTCAATTTTGAAAGAACATCAGAATATACATACTGGTGTGAGAGAGTACATGTGCTTTGAGTGTGAAAAGACGTTTACTTCAGCAAAGTGTTTAGAACTGCATGAGAGGATCCACTCTGGAGAAAAACCTAATAAGTGTTCCCACTGTGACAAGAGATTCAGTGATTCAGCAACTCTGAAAACACATGAGAGGATCCACACCGGAGAGAAACTGTATCACTGCACTGCATGTGGGAAGCGTTTCAATAATTCATCTGCTCTACACAGTCATACAAAAAACAATCACATACTTTTCAAATTATCATATCGAAGTTAGAAATTCAAATATTGTGACAATTTATTTTGTAGGGTGCCACAAGTTTGTTAAAATTTCCAAAGGGTGCCGCGACTAAAAAAAGGTTGGGAAACACTGTTTTAACCCCTGGTAAGCGATTTTTACCAGGAGACCCTCTCGAAACGCGTTTTGAGTAGCAATTGGGCGGGTTTTGTTATGAAAACCTGGCAACCCTTAACCCTCAAGCAGGTAACGTTTTTTCTTAAAACGCATTTTTGCCCCGTTTGTGTTGTTTTACTGCTTACACAATTATTTAAAGTATAAAACATTGTTATTTACAATGAACAGCATGGTTTTTAATCATATTTTTAGGAGGGACAACCCTCAGATAGGGGGGTCCTGTCCCCCCGACCCCCCCGGGATTTTCCGCCTATGCTTGCAGTTTGCTTACTCTTTCATGAAGGAAAGCAGAAGTTTTTACAAACCGTTCTTGTTGAGGAAGCTGAAGAAAAGACTGTAACACTTTTATTTTTAACCTTTTTCTTCACTGTTGTTTTTAAAATGACTAATTATTCTTCCACTTAAGATGTATTTAGAAAACACGGATGCTAGATATACTGTCATGTAGCTTTGCAACTGATCCTTATTTACTTCTCTTGTAAGAAGGGATGGGTACCGGAACATGGTATTTAATGGGCCGTTTTTTCATGCAAAAAAAAAAAAGAATACCATTAAAGAACGGAACTGATGTGCAGTATCGTAAGAATAGTAATACCGTTAAAATCTAATGAGACCTATCCCTACTTGTAAGTCAGTAGGAGAGAAATCTATCATTAGTTTTCACTTTTACTTTCAGTAATTATTGATCACTTTTGCTTTGAGTAATTGAATGTTCGCAAAGACCCGCCCTCCTTAGTTACTGTTGCTACCTCCGACAAACAATGCTGCTCTCACACTAAACATCATGTTCTCATGCAGTGAAAAATACATCGCAGAGCAAAGAGGAAACTGACAACACACCGACAGACAAGACAGAGCAGGTTACTTCTGGTATGAAACGAGGTCTCAGGACTCTCAGCTTTCAATTTTTGTAATTTTTAAAGAAATTCAAACAATACCGTTTTGTGGCTCTTTAATGTGTCGTGACAGATCACTGTAGAGCCTCAGTTAGATAGTTTTAATGAACCAGTTAAAAAAAATGATTCAGAGGTTATTTTATGGTGGAACTGGCTTGTCCACAATTTTGAGCGCTGCACGACAGAATAGATCATGACGTGATCGTGGGTCTTCATCTTATTTCCATCTGAAATACTATTTTTTTAATCATCCTACTATCAGTCAATGATAATTATAAAATATAATTATAAAAGAAAACTTTACGAGCATAGATCAGTGGCCGAGAGCGCATCTGATTGACAGATATACCACAAGCTCTATCAGTTATTGTTCTGGTTATTTTGTTTCAGTGTACAGTTTGTTGACATTGTGCAAAGCATACAGTCAAAGTAAACGTTATCATTTAGCTGAACTTGTATCGTAATTTTTTTTTTTTTTTTTTACAAATAAAGCTTCATATTATGAGAAGGATACTTTCTACGACCTATCCTGCAGTCGTCATGGTGAGAGTAGGTTCCTTCCATCTAAAAAAAAAACAAGAATCGAAAAGGAATCGAAAACAACAGTGAGGAATCGATTCTTGGAATCGAATCCCATCAATTCCAGAACCAGGAATCTGAATCGGACTCGATTCTACGCACATGTGCATATACAGCTCCCGATCGGGGCGAAGTTCACCGGATTTTGTCCACAGACTGATAAGAGCATGTTATTTTATTAACGTTATTTTATTATTTCACACTCAGTATTTTAACTTAGGTGCTGCAAGCCATGCATTCAGAGCCGGACATGGACAGATTTTCTGGTACTCAAAACAAGTACTTTAGAGGAATTCCTTTAGCTTATTGACATTACTTTGGCAGCCAACAACAGCAGAGCTTAACCCTCTGCACATTTTTATATTTAGTTATATTGAAAAAGTTTCAATTCAGTCAAATCGTTTTTTACCCTGTTTTAACATGGATTTCTATGGAGACTGGCCATAGATGGCGGACAAGATGGCGGATAGCAACGGCGGCACATAATATCTGCGTTCTGATTACTGAATACTATAGAAGAATATTGGTACATTTAGTAAGAGTAGAATACAATAAATTTTTCTATATGAAAATTAGATTTTGCACGTCACTGATGTTAATAAAAGTAAATTTTGTATGTTTCCCAACTCAAGCTCAGTGCTTTACTGTCAAATGTGTATTACCAAGAAATAAACGTGATATTATTTGTAACTGCACTTATTGATGCAAAATAGTTCAGTCGGTCATCAAATCTGAAAAGACACGATAGGATCCACACTGGAGAGAAACCTTATAAGTGTTCACACTGTGATGAGAGGATCCACACTGGAGAGAAACCTTATAAGTGTTCACACTGTGACAAGAGATTCAATCATCCATCAAATCTGAAAACACATGAGAGGATTCACACTGGAGCGTAACCATATCACTCCACTGCATCTGGGAAGCGTTTCAATCAATCATCTGTTATACACAGTCATACAAAAAACAATCACAGTAAGGCCCCGTACACACAGAGACACGTTTAGCTTTATACTTAAAAAAATTGTGTATCATATTGGCGTTTTGTCCAGACGGATCGGGCGTTTTGGGAGACTGGATTTGGGAGTCTTATAATGCATATGTATCACTTGTAGTTTGCTTACTTGTAGACGCTTTTTACGAACTGTTCTTGTTCAGGACACTTTTTTGGTTAGCTTTTTTTTTTATATTGTTCTTCACTGTTGTTTTTAAAATGTTATTCTTCCACGTAAGATGTATTTAGGAAATGCATATGCAAGATACAGTATACTGTCATGTAGCTTTGCAACTGATCCTTCTTTGCTTCATTTGTAAGTAGGAATGAATACCTGAACCTAGTATTAAATGATCTCTAGGGCTAAATTACAGAAGACTGTAGTATCGAAAAGCAAATGCTAACTGTTTTTCTTTTGGTGTTGGGGAAATTAAGGAAATACACTTACAGTTTATTATTGCTAGATGAATATTATCAAGCTAACTGTATCTTGCCAACCGTTTCTACATGTGAAAATGTCAAGACATTCGTCACTGACGCATTTTCGTTATTTTGCAATCCAGAAGCGAGGTTTCTCTCCTACTTTAGGGCTGTGAGATTAATTTTATTTTCGATTGAGTTTGACTTCCGAGGATTATGAAAACAAGTTGTTTGAGTTAAAGTGATTTATTAGAGACAATTTGATGTGTTTTGAGGACTTTATGGCCGCTGTGTGCGTGTCTGTTAAGTCCATGTGACCATAATAATTCATTATTATGACATAGAAGTTGAAGCCACTGCACCACCATATTGGTATACCCCAGTATTCTCATATATTCTATTGAATTAACAGTAAATCTTACGATCTTAATGAGAAAACATCACCAAACGAGTCAGTGTTTTTATATCTGAAGTATTCCTGTACATTCTTACAACGCAAACGTGCTGCATGTAAAAGCTTATTTGTTTTAATTTTGGGAATTTCCCCTGCCTATTAAAAAATAAGTATCATATTCATTACAGTAGCGAAAATCAGATGAACACGATGAACATCTGATGGACAAGATCCTCAACAAATGTATTATAAATGAAAAAGTGCTTTTTCTGAAATCTGAATAAAATTTTATACTTTCTTTGTGCATATACCTAATTCACCTTGTACAGTTATTCACTCTATGCAATTATGTTGTTATATTGTTTTTATTTGTAACGGCAAATGTTTCAACAATTTCATTAACAGCATGCATTTTGAAGCAGTTGATTTCAATGTTGGTTAATTTAATAATTAATATATACTAGGGCTGCCCCTAATAGTCGACTAACTGTTAGTAGACCAGAAGAGGCTTGGTCGCAGAAAAAAAAAAATCCACAGGCGAAGTCACGCACTTCGTGACGGACATAATCGTTAACGGCTAGTCTATGGTAATACAGTAGCCTACATCGGGCAGGACATCCAAACGCTCACCTATCATTCATCCACCACAAATATGGCTTATCTGAAATATGTACGTATTAGCAACTTTACATAACCTCTCAATCTAATGATAGGCTAACCTAGAAAAATGTGCGAAGTGTCTGTTAGGGTTGGGCCGATAGACGATGCCGTCGTCCATCGCCAATGGCTGATAGACATCACGATGTTGAGGCGGCATCCTCTACAAGGAGCGTACCAGCAGTATCCTTTGATGCTCCTCCCAACGACCGGATGTCGATCGCTGCATCGGAGGATGATCCGGAGCTTTCTGGAGAGAAAGATTCGGCTGCGCTGCTGCCTCCTGGACTGTAGCAATGCCTGAATCGGATTCGGAAATAACGGCTATGTTTTCCCGGGCCGCCGTGAGGGTAGGGCTCGAGTGGAGACTGTCCCAAGCCCTCAAGGTTGGACGATTGGTTCTTCGGGGTGGTCTGCGCTGGTTCTCAGTGCCCCGCCCCGGTGCCATTCTTCCCGGAGGTGCATGAGGGGCATACCAGGTTGTGGATGGCACCTTTTTCTGCCGGAAACCGACCTGATAACTCCTCCCTCACCACACTCGACGGGGGTGCAGCTAGGGGGTATACGGGGATCCCCCCAGTGGAGCGGTCGGTTGCGATGCAGTTGTGTCCTAATACTGCCTCCACCCGGCAGGGCGAACCGTGCCTCCCTTCCCTGGTCTGTAGGTACTCGTCTGGTCTGTCCGGCGATGCTTATACGGCCTGTGGAGAAGCTGCCTCCGCCTTACATGCTACGGCGTTACTGCAGGTTCTTCAGGCCAAAGCACTGAGGGACCTGCTTGAGGGTGGTCACGATCCGGAAGTTCTAAAAGAGCTTCCTGATCTCGGGCTCCGAGCGACAAAGGTCACCGCGAGTTCTCTGAGTCGTGCAATGTCCACACTTGTGGTCCAGGGGCGTCACCTCTGGTTGTGTCAGGTCGACATGAGGGGCAGTTTGGTTCCTCAAGGTCCCTGTGTCCCAGACCGGCCTTTTCGGCGACACAATCGAGAACATGGCCCAGCAGTTCTCGGCTGCACAGCAGCAGACTGAGGCGATCCGACATTCTGCCTCGGCGGGCAGCTGCTGCCTCCACCTGTC